CGTCTGGGTCCCGTCGTCGATCCAGCCCTGGGGCGCGAGGGAGGGCGTCGGGGGGCGGGGAGGGTGCCAGGGGGGTGCCCAGCACTTGCCCCCGTCCTACCCTCCCTGCCACCCTCACCTGCGCCTCCGCCAGCTTGGACCAGTCGGGTTTCAGGTAGTAGACGATGCCACCCAGCGCCCCGGGCAGCGTCACCCCATGGACCAACAGCAGGATGAGTACCACGTACGGGAAGAGTGCCGTGAAGTAGACAATCTGCAGAAGAGTGGATGCCGGTGAGACGCCCCAGGCCGGGGCTTTCCATCATGAGCCACAGGTGTCCCAGTGGGACCAGGTCTGGGGATGTTCCCACCAGCTGGTGGCATCTCCCAGACAGATGCGGGACAGAGGGTCTCGCACCCCCATGGGCTGCAGCACAGGAGGGCAGGAGCCGGCAGTGCCGTGTGTGTTGCAGTCCCGCCCCTGCATGCTGCTGGCCCTGACGTGTCTGTGTGTCGTCCTCCCGTCCCCCCTCCTCCCTTCAGCGTCACCTTCCCGGTCGACTTGACGCCCTTCCAGATGCAGAAGTAGACGACGACCCAGGTGGTGACCAAGCAGAGGATCATCTGCCAGTTCATCTCCCCCGGCTCGCTGAGGTCCCCTGAGAGCCGCAGCACCTTGTTCCTGCAGAGCGGGGCCGTGCTGAGTGCCAGCACGACGCCCCCAGCCCCAGGTGAGACCCCCCTGGTCCCCACACTCACTCCCAAAACTCGATGACAGGCGAGCGCTTGTTGGCCATGTCGGCACAGCTGAGGTTGAAGGGCCCAGTGCCGGCGCTAGCGTTGGTGGTGCCATTGAGGCAGAGCTCAAGGTGGAAGAGCTCGGTGCACTGCTCAGTGTTCCAGGAGTGGCCGCAGGTGGCCCAGGGCAGGGTGTCCGTCAGCGAGTGCACCAGGTAGAAGAGCCCCCACACCAGGATCATGATGTAATAGGAGTTGCAGAAGAAGACGATCACCATGGAGGCCAGGCCCAGACCTGTGGCATGGGGAGAGCAGAGTCCACGGGCACCCACGGGCACCCGGCAGCCCGGTGGGGTGGGACAGCCGGCAGCCTGGGGTGGGATGGGGTGTGCCGGCAGGGATGGAGGGCCAGTGGGGATGCAGGGAGCAGGCAGCCCAGGGTAGGACAGGGGGAAGGCGATGGGGGATGTGGGGAGCTGGCTGCCCCGGGGAGGACAACAGGGAACTGGTGGGGACAGGACAGGGGGAGCTGTCAGCCCCAGGGGACGCGGGGAGCTGGCAGCCCCAGGCAGGATGGGGTGGGGACAGCATGGCACAGGACAGAGGGGAGCCGGCAGCCCCCGGGGAAGCCGGCAGCAGGCAGGGAAGCCGG